CAGATTATTATTCAGCTATAAATAAAAATAACATCATGAAATTTGCAGGCAAATGGATGGAATTAGAAAAAAATCATCCTAAGTGAGGTAACCCAGCCCCAGAAAGACAAACATGCCATGTACTCACTCATAAGCGGATATTACATGTAAAGCAAAGGATAACCAGACTATAATTCACTGCTCCAGAGAGGCTAGGTAGCTAGGAGGACACTAAAAGGGACATGTATGAAACACCCTGGGAGGGGGAAATAGATACGATCTCCTGGGTAAACTGTGAGGGAGTGGTGGAGAGGGGAGGGGATGGAGGATGAGAACATGAGGGAACTGGAAGGTTGAGTAGGGGAGGGACAGAGAGGGAGAGCAATGAAAGAGATATCTTGATAGAAGGAGTCATTATGGGGTGAGGGAGAAACCTGGTGCTAGGGAAATTCCCAGAAATCCACAAGATGACCCTAGCTTAAATTCCCAGCAATAGTGGAGAGGGTGCCTGAGCTGGCCTTCTCCTACAATCAGACTGGTGACTACCCCAACTGTCATCATAGAGTCTTCATCCAGTGACAGATGGGAGAAGATGCAGAGATCCACAGCTAGACATGGGGCCAATCACCTGGAGTTCAGTCAAAGAGAGGGAGGAGGGATTGTATGACCATGGGGTATCAAGATCATGATGGGGAAACCCACAGAGACAGCCAATCTGAGCTAGTGGGAGCTGGCAGACTCTGGATGGACAGCTGGGGAACCTGCAGGGCACCGAACCAGGCCTTCTGAATGTGGGTGACAGTTGTGTGGCTTAGTCTGTTTGTGGTGCTCCTGGCAATGGGACTTGGATTTCCCATTCAATGGAACTTGGAGTTCCCTGGTGCATGAACTAACTTTATGGATCCCACGCCCTATGGTGGGATACCTTGCTCAGCCTTGATGCAGTGGGAAGGGGGTTGGGCTTGCTTCAACTTGATGTGCAAGACCTTGTTGACCTACTATGGGATGTTTTACTGTCTCTAAGGAGTGGATAGGGTGTTTGGTGAGGGGGAAGGTGGGGAGGAACAGGAGGATGGGAGGGTAACTGTGGTTGGTATGTAAAATGAAAAAACATTTAAAAAGAAAAGAACCAGACATGGGCACTTTCTAGAACCTGGGCCCAAGTGCCCATTCAACAGGCCGGTCCTCTCATGATGTTCAAATGCCCCTTAGTGTGGCCAGGCTTTCATCCTCTCTCATGGTTGGGGCTTTCTTCCTAATTTCTCTTTCCCCACAAACAGTTGAGTAGAATATTCCTCCTTAGGTCATTCTGGCACACTGAAGTGCATCCAATAATCAGCTACATAAATAAGGCACTCATGACTGAAAATGAATTGATGAGCTGCTCTGTCAATGCTTGTGAATGTAAAACTTATAATGAGTGCCAAGAAGGCAGCAAATCATAAACCAGGAATTTAAAAATGGCATTGATGTTTATCTATTAATTCAAAATAATGTTTTTATAATATTATTTTTATTTTTGACATAATTCCTTAATTGCCCCCTTTGCTCCCTCCTGCCCCTCTCATGTAGCTTTCTTGACCTTTCTCAAGTTCATGCCCTCTTTTTTTATTGTTTATATATGTAATATGTATTACTAAATATGTAAAAATAAAACCTGTTCTGTATGTATAGTATTTCTTTTCTTTCTTTCTTTCTTTCTTTCTTTCTTTCTTTCTTTCTTTCTTTCTTTCTTTCTTTCTTTCTTTCTTT